CTTTATATCAATTCTAGGTAAAAGGCTGGCACACAGTTTGTACTAGGTGGTTCCTAATGACAATCATTGTCCTGCTGATGTATGATTTAGACCTTTGGTATTGGTTAGTTAGTTAACCTCCACTTTCATGACTTAGATTTAAGACACTAAGTTTTCGATTGGTCAAATATTATGTTTTCTAGCATAGTGCCAATGTTTTTATGAGGCATGTGTGACAAATACATAGAGTATGTGTTTTCTTTTAACTGTATCGTATTAACTTGATTGGAATGTTCAAGAATAAATAAAAATGCCATTAAACATCAACACATTCAACATCTTAAATAAAAGGGATGTGTTATAAAGAAAATAAATATTCCTCAAGGTGCAATTTGCCAATTGATCAATAGAGATGGCACTTTCTCTTTTTTTTACCTGCTTCCTTCATCTCCAGCCTCTGTTTAGTATGTGGTGGCTGCTGCCTAGATTCGAGCGTCCTGGTCATGGCTCTGTAATCTACTAATTTATTGATGCCCTTACTGCATATCACCACTCTCTATTGGTTCAAGGTCATCCAGCATGCAAGAGTTATAGCATGCAATCTAAAAAAATAAATAATAAATATAGTATCTCCAGCATCTTCTTTTTCATTGGCAGTTGCTTTCAGTTTTTATATTTCGTCATTTACTAACAGACTTTTATTTATTGCTCTTAACTTGTTTATCAGCCACATTCTTGTCCAACCTCATGGGTGGATGGAAACACTTGATGAGCTTTTTTATCTTTATATACCCACTGTTAATACAATTTTGATCTTTGATAGTAATGAATACCTAAAGAGTTGATGCATCTGACTTCAACATTACAGGAGCAAGTTCTTCCGACGGCCTCTGTCTTACTTTCTCAGCAAGCCTTGCTTTTTCCCTGTTTTTCCCTGTCTTTTGTCCTGGTCGTTATTGTCTGCATCTAATTGGAGGTTTATTTGTACATCTGATTAAAGCTGGCAGTGTGTTTGGATTGCTGATGCCAAGTTTGCTGTGTTTGCCGTATTTCTTAGGAGACTTGTGTAAAGCCCCACTCCATTCTTATTGTTATTAACCCTATTCATTTGCTGGCAAAGCCCAGGGCCTTAGAAGTGTACTTTAGTGTGTATTTTTGAAAATACTCGGACTTTTATTAGTCTCCCTCTTTGACATTTCATTCACACTTAACAATATCTGGCTTTCTTGATTTAACCTTTACCCCTTGTTGACTCCAACCAAGTAGAGTTGTTACAAGTTGAGATGATTGGGCCAGCCACAGGAATCGGCAAGACAAACGGGTTACACGCTGTTTGATGGGAGATCACGTTGCTCCCCAGGCAGCCTAGACTTTGTTTACTCATTGAGAATGGGCAGCTTGTTTGTGGCTATTCTTGGCTCAGAGGCAGCCTGCTGTTTTGTGTAGGAGGAACGATGTTTTTCCCCCTGTATCTTCTTCCTCTAGAAGGTTGGCATTCCACCGCCACGTCAGCACAACCAGTGCTCCTTTTGACTCGGGGAGGAGGGTGAGAGGGGTTGTGGCCTTTTCTATCTGATCCCTCTCAACATTCGTGCGTCACACTGATGTAAGAGTGGGTGCCCTCCCACCCACACCCGTACCTTGCCTTGTTTCCCTTGCTTTGTTTCTTTCCTACCTACTTTGTGTGTGCGCGCGTCTGGTGTGTGTGTGTGTGTGTGCATGTGTGAGGGATAGAGGAAGGAGGAGAGGAAGAGAGAAAGAGACGGGGTGTACTCTCATCAAATCCTCTTGTCTATATGCTGTCACAGTCAGTGCAGTGACATTTAAACAGGGATATATACTCCAGACTGCAAAAAAGCAACACGTTATCGTTTGTCATTTTATTACTGCACATGCAGGGAGCAGCATCCACAGCACAACCTGCAGAAGCATTAAGGCTGATATGCAGAGAGTGTTTTTTCAAGCTACCTGTTGATATTATAATAGCTTCACTTACTTTACCTAGCCTTAATCTCAGGATTTTATCCAAAATTTAAGAAATTTAAGTCTAGTCTGGGTTTTAGTGTTCATGTCTGTTATTGGGGAGAGACTTTGTAATTATTAAATCGCGCTTGATCACATTTTTATCAACAAGCAATATTTGGAAATTGTAAGAGAGGTTTTTAATTTTAATCCATTTTGTTGCCAAGGAAAAACGTTTCCTTGGGTTGTAAACACACGTGATACATGGTTTGTGTTTTGTTTTTTTAAATAATAATAATGAGCTCTATAAACCATCAGTATCATTAGTCTTTAATGCTTTATAGCTAATGGTACTAGCTAACTCCAACACAAACCTTTTTGTGGCTGCCATCATTCACACCGAGTTCCCTCGTGTTTCCCCAAAGGCAGGAATAAAATTAAAGTAAAATTTACAGCCAGGTAGAAAATGATAAGCTGTCTAATACTCTGCTGGCTTTGTGCCTCTTTGATTTTAGTTCAAGGGCTTCATTTGCTATCTTGTCTTATCCTGTCGTATTTATTAGCAGGAAGACTGATGCATTATGTCTTAAATAATTTTATATAATGGTCAAAACTGCTATTCAATAACATTTTTTTATCTTACTGTACTGAAGTGTTCCCAAAGGGCTTGTTAGAAAACTAACAACTTTTACTTTGTTCTACATTTTACAATATGACCCTTTGTAAAGGCATTGGATTAAATGACCTATTCAATTTAACAAAGACTTTAAATGTATCTAGGCACTTAGCACTTTTTATGTGGGTGCCAGGTTCTGTCAGCCTCATTCTTTTATCACATTCACATTTTAATGAAAGTCTTTAAGAGCTATATTTAAGTTGACTTAAAACAGATTAAAACTTAAAACTGAAAGGAACCAGAGTCATTATGAAAGGTAGCAAAACTGGAAGAGCACTTCAAGGGAGGCGATAGACAAGGGAAAAAGGGTGGAGGAGAGCACATCTCACTATGAATAAGTAGTTTGGAAATTAATGTTCAAGTGAGAATCTGAAAGAAGTATGTAAGAGTCATTTAGCCGCCTGGGCTCAACATGTTTGTAAAGTTGCCCTTGGTCGACAACGGCTACGTGTACATTGTTTTCAAGATTTCTTTTGGAAAATTTGGCTAAATACTGCTTCTTTCTGAGTTATCTTTTGTTTAATATTTCATCGTTTCTCGTTTATATTTTGGTGATTGGCTAAACCAAGTCTTACTGTATATTGTCATGATTGCTTTAATTGTGATTTATGTCCTACTATTGGCTGCTTCTGTGCTGTTTTTAAAAACCTTAGGTGAGGTGACCTTCGAGCTTATAAAAACCACATGAGGAAACAAGGGACCATTTGTCTACTTGACTGTTCTGTGACAAAATGCATTATAATAGATACAGTGTTTCACATAAATCTGTTCAAAACTGTATCATTCTAGTTGAGTTACAAATTATAAATATGTAGATTAGTTGTGTTGTGACCAAGATCTAGAGGATATTTTACATCGTTTGGGAGTTGATTTTAATGAAATGAGTTGTACATTTTTGAACCTAGAACACTGGCAGCCGTCCATGTGTCCACGTTGACGGCTGAGTCTCAGAAGTGGGTGGAGCCTGGACTTCAGCACCTGAAAGGGTGGTGCTACTACTGTCTGAAACCTCCCACTACACAGATCTGTAGTCTTAAGATCATGTATGATCATATGGCTGTTCATTCAGACGTGCTTTCTCTTTTTTTATGGTCTTGAAAAAAGTATGGAATTCTCTTCCTCACATAAGCTGAATGAAGGTTGGTGTGTGTGTTTTTTTTTCCCCTTTTTGTCGCCTCATCTGTTCTTAGAGTTGAGTCGGGAGAAGTATGCAGTGTGTAATGTTGGCACATAGACCAGACTCTTTTTCCTCTGTCTCTGTCTGAGGCTTTCTGCTGAGCTGTCACTGCTGAGATCCAGCCCTCATTGCAGAGCCACGCAGCAAGCTTTGTTGTTGTTGCACTTTTGTGCGATGTCTTTACACATTGTCTAAATGTAGAACAAACCTCTATATGTCGCCTGTAAATTGACTTTAAGTGTGTAAGTACACAAGTGTAAAAATGTAGGGTATTTATTTATTTTTATTCTGGAAAATTCATCTATTAAACAATACTTCTTATCTATTGGTTCTACCTACCTAGGGACAATTGAGCAGAGTTCTATGATAACCTTTAAAGATTCATTTTAATTACAGTGTGATAATGTGCCAGATTTTAGCTATCAGTATTTTAATTAATATTTTATAACACTTTTGACCCTCTGCCATTTAATAAAAATAGCAAACAGTTAAGTGTCAGACATTTTTTGTGTAAAAGTACAAACACTATTTGTTTGAGAAGTTTGAGGTCCAGAGAGACCTGGTGGATTTTTGACTCTGATATCAGGTCACTATGAGATTTTGAGCAGGAAGCAGGTCATCTCAGCGTTATTCCCCTATTCAGCCAGTGTGGTAAAGTTTGGTGTGAACTTGGCCGTGGGAATTCTCAAGACATATCTGAGGTTTTCATCGTTTAACTGGGATCTGTTGTCAGAGGTTTTGTTACACCATGCGTTTGCTGTCACACCTAGATGGAGCCAAAAAGCACCAACCTCCTCTGTGGATGGTTCACCATAGTGCCCACACAGTACAGTCTGGTCCCAAGCCTTTTTGTTTCATGTATTAATGTGGTGAATCATATGATGTAAAAAATATTGTGTGATGCACTGCTCATCAGGTTAAGACACTTATAGATGTTCAATATTTAAGGTACGGTAAAGTAACATGTAGAATATTATTGTGCGTCTGCCTTATATTTAAATCTGTGGTTGTAATATTAAGAAACGATGAGCTTCTGCTGGTCATTGCACATTGTACAAAACCCCGATTTCCTTCGAACACTTTGGCCTTCATTCATAGATTTGGGCTTTTAAAGTATCTGGTCCATTCTGTGCTCTGTTTAATGCAATAAAACATCTGCTTCCTCAAAGGGTAAAAGTTTGATTTCCTCTCGTCCTCTCTTCACAGGTCCTGCTCAGGTTCCCATGATGTCTCCAAATGGATCAGTGCCTCCAATTTATGTGCCTCCTGGATACGTTTCACAGGTTGTCACTTTCACCTTCACTCTCACTCTCTTTTTTCTTTTTCCAGAGCTTTTTTTTAAATCTTTTTTTTTTCTCCCCTCTCTCAGATTATAGAAGAGAATGGAGTCCGACGAGTTCTGGTTTTACCTCAGCAACCAGAGTTTCACCCAGGAGGGCACTCCCCTCTACATCACCCTCCACCGCCACCCCATGCCCACTTGCCTGCATTCATTCCTCACCCTGCTATGATGCCGCCCCCACCCCACATGTACACAGGCATGGCTGGGGGTGTGGGTGACATGAATTCTCAGTATATTTCCCAGTACCATCCAGCTCATATCTACTCAGAGCAGGGTAAGTGAAAGGCGTCCAGACCTTATTGTGTTGTTATGCTTTTTTTAATTCTCAGTTTCTTCAGTTCTACAGAGGGTTAGTAGAGCCTCTAAAGCATTTCTTTTTTCTGTAGTCTCTACAGATTCCCACTCCCAACATGGACGTCCCTTTGTTCACAGAGATGACAGAACAAGCAAAACATACGAGCGTCTACAAAAGAAGCTTAAGGAGCGTCAAGGAGTCGGAGGTCCGGTAAAGGACAGTCCTCCACTCTCGCCACAGAAGTCTTGTAACAGCCCAACCACAGTGGACATTCACAATGGGGTTGGAGGGAAAGGGCCGGATGCTGAACAGGAGCAGCTCAGCCATGCAGTGGCTGGCTGCAACAAGCAGGCAGGCCGAGGAAGAAATGGAGAGTCAGGAGGTAAGGAGAACAAGGAGTTAATGTTTAAAGAGTTGCACAAATATTTTGGCAAATTATTAATAAGCTTGAGGCCTCTTTAATTTATCTTCAGTACCTCCTGCATGTGTGCTGCTTTTAAACGTGGTCATTAATAAGAAGGTCTTAATTTATTGTTCATCTTTAGTATTTACCTGCATCAAATCTGAGGCTCCTCTTTGTCTCTGGAAGAAAATGGATCTAATTTGCTATACTGTCTTAAGGGAAACCCCAAATATGTCACATAAGAAAATATCAATACAATACAATAGTATTGCTATTCAGCTAAAAAATATCGATATATTACTTTTAGTTCATATCGCCTAGCCCTAATGCATGGTACATTTTCTCTCTCCTTAACAGTAACCCTTGACTTTTAATGGCATACTGTTATTGTTAAAGACAGTATACTATAAATCACTTATTTAGCACCTATAGTCCACTTCTCTATAGCTCTGTCTGCTCCTTTACCTCAGCTCTGACGCATGCAGTCACCTTGATACAAGTGAGGCACATTGTTCTACGTCAATAGCTGTGATCAACCATCATCAGCAGCACGGATCTGTTGTTCTTCAACAGGGAGCTTTCTATTGTGGCTTTGTACTTGTTTTTTTTTTGTATCTGTAGACTGTAAAATCACTGCATATGTGGGCCATGGTGGGAATAGACTATAACTGTGGGGCTTGTAGTGCAGAATAATTGCTCAGATGGTATTCATAGTAATCCCTAGAGTAATCCATCTGGGTCTTATCAGCTTTAATGATGGCAGCAAACATGACAGGAGCATTATCACAGCAAAGGTGTCAGCTCCTGTCTGTCCATGCATTCATCAGAGACAGAGTTGTCTTGGATGTATCTGTTGAGCTGTGTTATTTCTAAAACATGCTTAATATATATATATAAATGTTCTGCTTTCTGGTAGAGAATGTTAAAAAGTAGATTTTTATTTGTAAGCACGCAGTATCTTTACCTTCACTTTAACTTTATTTAAACCTAATGTACGCTGACTTTCATAACTTCTGAAATTCTGAAACAATATCCTGTGTTACTCAGTAAAAGATGGCCAATTTTATGCTGTAATAGTTAAGCTGCTGGTTACATGTGTATACTGACTATTGTTTAGCATTGATTTACACCTGATTAGTTATTGTTACCTACAGCCCTATACCAAGGTAAGGTTTTACAGTAAGAACCCTGGAATTGTGGAAGGGATGCATCATATTCTAAAACGACTCCATGCAGTATTAAATTTACCAACTGACCCTTCAACTGTTACACATGTGTCTTTATACACAGATGTTGTGTAACAGCTCCTTCTGTAACCCTTCTCCTTGGAGATTCACCATTCTGACTTCTATTAATATTCATAATAGAACCTGTCGAAGTTTTATCTAATGTGAAAGATTTGATAAAATCACGTACAGGGCTCTACCACAGACCCACAGAATGTTTCCCCCGTCAAATGTGACTCACTGCTTCCCAGATCTAGTGACTGTGTGTTGGCAAGAGGAAATCTTTCTAATTAAAAAGAAAGCCTCCTGGCCACGGAAATACAGCAGGCATCATTAATTATTTTGCACCCACTTAAGAAAAGTATCTGTGAGAAGCAAAAATGACAGCAATAATTGAGATTTGTTTCAGATTCTTCCCCATATTCTAAAAAAAAAGAGCAATTTTAGAATAGAGGAAGATTTTGTGGGGATCATGTGTGTACATTCCCCCCAAGAAATGTACTAGGAATTTATGTAATCATGATTTTTCTTTGCTTAACCGTAGTTGTTTTTTTTCTGTTTTTAGAGCTGGATGAAGAAGCCCAGGCACTGCAGGCACTGCTGAGTTCGATCAGTAAACCGACGGTGAGTAGTCACTTCTGCATTTCCTCCCATCATTTTTCTAATGAGGACAATTTGCATGAGCTTATCTGACAATAAGTAGTGTGTTCATTATAAAAATACGCTACATTTGCTTTGATGCAAATGTACAGCATCGTTAAACATTATATTAACAGCCATATGATTTCTTGCTGTCAATTTGCTTGCGTCAGAGCTGCTAATTAGCCTCCATTTGTGAATGTCAGTTGCCCAAAGAATTTAGGGAATATCTAACAGGTACTCCAAAAAAGCGCAGCAAAAGTCCATTGAAGAGATGGTGGATACATGGGAATGAAGTCAAAGCAGTTTTTGGCTTAAATAGAGCGTGATTCTTTTATATTTATAATCTTTTCTGCCTTTTCTGGTTTATTGAAAAATAGAGAATTGAACGGCGGATCACAAATGAGTTTAGAGGGCACCACAGAGGGATAGATAAGACGAGTGGCAGATAAGACCTGAATGAAGTTCTTCTGATATCAATCTCCCCTGCAGCGCAGCTCAAGTTATTTTGAAATGGCCTCAAAACAGAATTTTAAAATCTATGGTTTTCACAGGGCGTCGTTGCCAAGGAAATGGAAGATCACAGTGGCATCAGCTTGAATATTTTTCTCCCCTAATATTGGACAATTTTGCAAATGATGACACTGTTTGCTCATTTTTTATTATTACATTAGTTAGTTTCACAGAAATCTATAGTAACTCATTTGACTTAAATTTAACAGGTGTCTGACATCCAGGCCAGAGGAGTTGAGGTGAGCTGGACTGCTCCATCCAGGCCTTTGAGTGACAGTAGCACTGTGGAGGATAACAGCATCCCCCTGGAGACTGTCAGCTATGAGGTCTCCATTTCATGTAGTGGCAAAGATGGAAAGTACAAGACAGTGTTTTGGTAAGCACAAGCTTAATAATATGCAACATAAAGGCTCAAACCACTGTGGTATGAGGTGTAGGGTCCAGTTCTGCTTTAGATGGGGGTTACTTTCAGCCTTCATTCATTACAGACATTTCTGATGTCAAATACAGCAACTGTCACCTGTGTGTGTGTGTTTTTATCATTCTGAAAAAAAAAAAAAAAAGCTGCTGTCGACCACAACAATACATGTTTGAAACCCACTGTATGGGACATAGAGCTGTTCATCATTTTTCCCAGACAGTGATGGATTTTTTTGACACGTCCCTGCTCTGCTGCAGACAAACACAAAATGTTGCTGAAGAGCAGTGTAATAGCAGCTGACAGTGGCTTTTTTATCACCATTGTAAGTTGTAAACTACCAATAATGTATCTTCATCCTGAAGATCGGTCCCTCTTTGTCGAGACTGATCTCTACTCCCACCTCTTGCCATCTGGTTTTATTTTATATGACCAACAGTAAAAATGATAAATAAGATATTTCCAGTTTCACTTTGAACATTTTAAAACTTAAAATAATTATTTTTCATGTACAGTGGAGAAGAACCAAGTGCTACTTTAGAAGACCTTCGACCAGCAACAGACTATCATGTCAGGTAGGAAAGTTTTTTCACTGGTTTTCATGAAAGTGTTCATGTCCAGGGGAACGGTACAGAAACCTCCTTGTTCTCTCCTCCTCAGAGTCCAGGCCACGTGTAACTGTTTACAGGGAAGCCCTTCAGAGGCCACGAGCTTCACCACTTTAAGCTGTGAGCCAGATCGTCCCAATCCTCCCAGGAAGGCCAGTGGGACCAAGAACACACTGGTTCTCCAGTGGAAGGTAAAAAACGCTTTCTTGTTCAGCGGATTAAGACTAAATATATGGACATTTTTTTGATTAGTTGGAGTTTTTCAGATCAGTGTCAGCTCAATCTATCTGCAGCTGATTCACAAATATGTTGTAAAATTAGTCAGTGAAACCCTGCGCCATGTCTTAGGTGGAATAGATCTGCTGTGATAACCTCTGGAGAAGGTAGCAGGTATAATTGAAAAAAAAATACTAATATAAAAATCAATGTTGCCTGAGAAGAGTCTTTCAACTACTAAATGAAAGAACGCAGAGGAGTGAATTCTGGCAAAAGTGGTGATTTCAATGTGTTTCTCAGAAAAATGCCCTCCTGCCCCTATGGGGAACTTTAAACTAAGAGTGTTTGTTTGAAGAAGAGGCTGTAAGAAGAAGTGTGATTCAAACACAATCTGCTCTCCATCGACAACTGTTGCTTAGACTCCATTCTCTGTGGTACTTAATCTTCTCTGGCTTCATTAAAGTTGCCAAATTGCGAGCAGTAAAAGATAGCGACAGCATGGATCATCTCCCAGGTGTTAGTCAAAGTGTGTGACACTTTGTAGCAGCCATTCTGAAAACAACATGTCTGCTCGGTAAACACAGGAGTAATGAAACCCTTTTTTATGCTGCTGTAGATTGCTTCTTGGTAATGAGTGGCCGTTAAAGGAACCATTTTGCATCAGATGTTTGATTCAGTAAAGATCCCTGGTTCTACACCTCTTCACTTTAGCTCACTCCAGTTTTCAGATGCCCATGCATTTAAATGTGTTGAAACTTTTCACATATTAATTAACACTATTTGCCTAATGATTTCGACAGCCCTAGTTTGTCATATTACATTTTTGTTTACCAGTAACTGAAATATTGCACTCTTTTTATGTACAGGCTCCATGTGACAATGGCTCAAAAATCCAAAACTACATTCTTCAGTGGAATGAGGTAGATTTACTGTGGCTGAGTTTCATTATAATGTGTTGTTATATCAGTGACTGTAATATTTCCTTTCCTCTTGCATGAAAAGTAAAATATCCCTCATTTCCTAAATACAATGTCAATGTTTCCGTCTCATATGGACTTGATCTAATGTCATGGTTCTCTAAAGGGGAAGACCACTGGAACCTTTGAACAGCTCTATTATGGAGCTCAGAAGCAGCACAGAGTGACCAAGCTCTCGCCTGCCTCCAGATACTCCTTCCGTCTTGCAGCCAAAAATGACATGGGTGTAAGGTAAGACAACACCTTCAGTGCAACCTTCTGTGTTGTATCCTCCCCGGTGTCCATTTTTTATGTTACTGTTTTCTTCCATTTGCTGTCACCATTTTTTGTACATGTATATGTTTCTCTCTCTCTCTCCTGTCCTACTCCTCTCTCTTCCTACCCTCTCTCTCTCTTCTGCTGTCTCTCTCTCTCTCCTGTCCTACCCTCTCTCTTCCATTCTCTGCTGTCTCTCTCTCTCTCTTTCTGCCCTCCCCAGTGAGTTCAGTGAAGTGGTGGACCTGTTCACCTCATGCAGTGTGCCATTGCCACCCTTCCCTCCAGAGCTGGAGAAGGCAGGGGTGACCTGGCTGTGTCTGAAGTGGCAGCGGCCCACCAGCTCCCCAAAGGAAGACGACATCTTCTACATCTTGGAGATGGAGGAGGAAGGCTCAGTATGTCTCTCTTTGTCCTTCTTTGACAGATGAAATAAGATTTGGATTGAAATGCACCGATGACTTTAAAAACACAAATGCTGTTCCCACTATAAGTGCTTTTTTAACTTGAGAGGAATTAATAAAGTCATGGTTTGTTGAGAGCTGAATGTCTGACAGCTTTAAATTTAAACAACGTAATCCAAGTCCATTTGTGGTTTCAGATTCATAATCACTCAATAATAGACAACAGTGGCTTTCCAAAATCACTGAAAGGCATTGACAGATGAATCTGTGGGTGATATGTGTAGAATTTGTCAGTGTAATGATTATAAATCACACTTGATCAAATACTTTTCTTGCCACCAGTATTGAATACACATAATTCACAGTATTTTTCTTTAGTGAGTGAAGCCTTAGCTGCTGATCCAGTGGAGAGGGGGAAACTGTGTGAACCATTGATAGTCATTGTGGGAAATATTCCATACTCTTCATACCTTTATTTTTTGTGTCCACTGCAATTAATACAAGTCCAGCCTGTGGAAAGAAGGAATATTTGCTGTATTTTTGCTGATAGTTTAAGTTTGTGTTGGAGATTGTTTCGTTTGTTTTTACAGCCGCTGTCATATTTGCCTGTGGCAGCTGGCAGCACGGCCAGGGACAGCACCAATAATCTTCTTTCTTCCTTGCAGCTGTTTTTCTCCCACAGATCACTCTGTTTACTGCGCCCTGATGGCTGTCATGTTAGTCACTGCTCATGTAGTTGTTTTCTCTTCTCCTCTGTCATTTGTCTTTGTCCCAGGGGTACGGCTTCCAGCCCAGCTACGATGGAGATGAGCTGTCCTGCACTGTCAGGAACCTCCACAGGAGTACCAAGTACAAATTCAGGGTGAGACGATCTCTTGATGCTTTCAGGCAAAGCTGGCTGTCACCTGCTCCACCTCCATGAAAGGATGGCTAAGAGTCCTAAAAGGTTCAAGTCAGTAAAGGATCAAGGAGTGTGTAGACACTCTCTTATTAACACAGCACTTCATTTAACCTGAAAGCAGTCTGAAAATCTCAAATAGTGTTTGTTAAAGCAGCAGAATCCCTCTGCAAACTGTATCTGTGATCTGTCACAGAGTTTCTTATCAAGATCTAGTGGAACACGTAACTGCTGACGGATAAATTAGTGATTTTGAAAGCTAGTGAAAACCAGAGAATAAAAACAGAACGCTCCTTGGAAATGCGGTTTCACTATGTAGCTTAGGAACACACCTTTTTGAGGAAAACACACACATTATACTCTCAGGCACTTGAGATAAATGTATTTGCCTGTGGCTGGCAGCCCCACAAGGCATTTAGAGTTTCAGACGTCTTGGTTTTATAAGAGCTTTTACCTCAGCATATTTACACACATTTTATCAGACAATTGTGTGTGTTTTTATTGAAATGGCGAGTAGAATGTAAGTGATTTTAAGATGTATTAACCATTTGTAGTGTGTTATCTGTCCCTTTTTTTCATTTGGAAGTTGGACAGCTAGTGGACTGCATGTGGTATTGTTTAATAGATACCATGCCACATAGTACTGAGTCATTACCCCCACACCTCACCCCTGTCCAGATTTAATGAAAACTTCTTATTTATGTCTGGTATTTCTGCTCCCAATCTGTGTATTTTCCACTGAAAAAAAAATTCCACCCAAAAAACTATAAAGCACATTTGATTTTTGATTTTTTCAGTAACCTGCTACTCAGGTATTGGTAAGTTTCTGTATACGATTGTACAATAAAGTAAATACTCTGACATTATAGAGAGGGCGAGACGTGTTAGCTACTCGACAGATCATTTTGAACATCTCGGACCAAAAACAACAGCGCAGCTCAGAGAGCGAGGTCACTGAGGACATATCCGGCTTCTGACTGTGTTTCTGTTTTGTATCTGGACCAAACCACTAGTCCTAATTTCTATATTGGATTATGAAAACCCATCAGTATCAAATGTAGTGACTTGCAGATGCACTGTCCATTTATTGTCCATTTTTTGTTTTCTGACAAAATGGCAGGAGATCTATTGTGCAAATAAGCACAATATTTTGTGCAGAGGTTTTATATTTTTACAGCGTAACTTGTAGCATTTTCCATGTAAATGTACTGAAAGTGAGTTTATTTACTTAGCTAGAACCACTTACTCACAGCATTTTAAATGCAAGATGCGATATAATTACTGTGCACTAAACAAACCACCATATTCCCACATGGAAGGTCCATTAGTCACCAGCACGTCTTCTCTCTCTCCCTTATGCTCCAATTATCCAGCTGTGCGGTGTGAGCAGAAGCTAGGTGCAGTGAAAGTTCGTCTTGGTGTAGCACGTCAATAAACCGCACTCTGCAGGCCCACTGAGATTTTTGTATAACTGCACGTGGGCCACCCTGAAATGCAAGAAATGTATTTTTCCCTCAGATAATTGCATAGATATAGGGAGCTGAAGATTTTTAATGATGTGTTTTTTATCCCACGCCTTCAGTTCTATCTATTGTCTCTCCTTTATTATATCCCAGGCTTGTTATCAAGAAACATGGTGACCTTTGTAGGTTTTACCACCGACCAATAAACAAGAACAATAAGACTTCTAACTGCTCCGCTTCATGTACGTTCTGCAGGTGGCGGCATACAACTCAGAGGGGAAGAGTAATCCCAGTCAGGTGGTGGAGTTCATCACAAACCCAGACAGACCCAGCTGCCCCTGCAGGCCTGTCATCAGGGGAAAGGTCCTACCCAACAGCTTTAAGATGGCCTGGGGTGAGCGTCATACTAGCGTTTGACTGGTCTTTTTATGAGAAAAATCAGAGTCTCAGAACATGACATCCTGGCGAAGCGGGTTTACAAGTTCCCATTTTTCATCATGTCCCAGACTAATCAGAGAATGACTCATCCAGTCCTTTCTCCATCTCACTGGACAAACACATCACTCATCACTGTGCTTTGATGGGCTCCAGTTATGGCCCTTCTCTAAAACTCATCCCATATCTCAATTAAAAAAAATCACTGTTATTGTGATAATATTCTGGTTTAGATATTAGAACCAACTAACTTACAGGTTTTATTCCCAAGGACCTTTTGACAACACCGGCCAAATTATTGTTGCTGTGGTGATCCTCTGAGAAAAGATGCTAAACAAAGAATTGTAAAAATAAATAAATAAAACCTATATATTATAATCCTATACTATATTATAGCAGTGTACAGTATAAAAAGTCTTATATGTGTAATTTGACCAACATCAGCTTCACATGTTCTTACTGGGCTTTAAAGTTTGTTCCTGTTGTTTGCAAGAGTTGATTTTAGGAGCCATGTTGTCACTGTCGTCTTTGTGAAAATAGTTTCTCTTTCTAGCTGAAAGAGAAAAATCTTAAACCCAAATGTCAGTTTATATATTCTGCTAAAAATAATGGAAATGTTCTTTTGTGCCACAGATGCAGCTCAAAAACAAATTCAAAATATTTTTTCTATCCATCATCGAGCAGCCGTTAAATAAAAGGACAAAAATGTAAATGTTTTTTCATTGTATGCCTTTTCAATTTAGAGCCCCCAAAAGAGAAAGGTGGAGCAGAAATAACGAAGTATGTGGTGGAGCTCTCTGAAGGCTTGACTGGTGGGTGGCCAACAGCCATTTTTATTAATTACTGGAGTCAATGTAAGATATAAAATAGGAGAAAAAAAAAGTTCATTTCTAAAAAAAGGAAATGTTGTCGACTCTTGTAGGCTTGTCATGGGATCTGGTGTACTCAGGTCCATCAATGGAGCACATTTGTGAGGGTTTAAAGCCCGGTTGTTCCTATCAGACACGAGTGTACTGCCTGAGCGAAGGGGGGCAAAGCCCGGTGAGTCATTCAGCAGCAAACCACGCACACACAGATACACACACACACACACACACAATCTGTAGAGGATGTATGTAAATAATTTTTATTTTTTGTTTAATAAGTAGGAAGATAAAACAATCATGTTTTTAATTGGAACTACATTTCTGCCTATGTGCAAATATGTCTCACAGCATGACGTCTTGTTGTCGATTGTCTAAGTTACACAACTAATTCATGACGTGCACTCTATTTATGGTAGGTTTAATTTGAAATTTTCATTCATGCAGTCTCCCATGTCCATGGATTAGACTGAGCCTCATTGTGTGTGTGAAGACAAGACGCAGCTCGCTAATCGTTTAACCCCTGTGTCAGAGGATGTTTTCCCCAATTAGTTCAGTTCACAGACACTTTTCATTAATTTCTTTATCAGCTTATTAGCGGGTGCATTTTTTTTTCATGATCGGAAAGAAATATGACTCATCGCTTCCTTTCGGTGCAGCTGAGTATGACACAACATTCACATGTTGCCTTTCTTGCTGTCTATCTTTATCCACATGTTTATTTGATGCACACATTTGTAAGATACAGTGTAAGCTGCTGCACCTGGAGACGCATTATTCTCCTCTCTAGTCTGCATCGGTCCTGATAAAATGAAGAGAGAAAGGAAGTCAAAGTTGACGTTCGTAGCATTTTCTTACTCTTAATTGTTGTGTCGGTTTCTCCATTATCAGCTGTCGGAGACCCTGCAGGTTCAGACTCCCGCAGTGCCCCCAGGGCCCTGCCAGCCCCCTCGCCTGGTGGGCAAAGCCAAAGCCAGGGAGGTGTTACTGCGCTGGGGTGAGTCATTCCTCTTCAACTCCAGTTTGTGTGGGATGTGATCTCACTTCTGTTGATGCATTTATTTATTTGGTGAAGTGCTTTAAACTTGAACATTTAGACAATGTTTTTATGATGATTTGATTATGATGCTTTGTTTTGTTTCTGTTAGAATAAACCATTCATATCCAGGAGTTTGTTAATGTTGGGAAACAGATTGTTTAGCTCAAAGAATATTTCTTTGTTTTTCAAACCATTCCACCTTATAGATAAGGACTTTTTTTTGCATTTCCTAGGTTCTCCTCAGGTTGATGGAGGCAGCCCAGTATCCTGCTACAGTGTGGAAATGAGTGGGCCACAGTCTGAGGAGAGCAGAGAGGTGTACCAGGGCCCTGAGCTGGACTGCTCAGTGGGAGGATTATTGCCTGGCAGAACCTACAGCTTCAGGCTCAGGGCAGCAAACAAGGCTGGGGTGAGAACAACTGTCAAAACTGATGTGTTTGGTTTAGAAGATTTGACTGTGGTGTTTTATCTAAGGTATTATTTTCTCGCAAGCTTGAAAACATGTAATGTAATTTCAATTGTCTAATCTTTGACTTTTGATTTTTTGCGTCCTGTTTCTGTGGATAGTTTGGGCCTCAATCAGAGCGCTGCGAAGTCACGACTGGCCCCGGGGCCCCTGAACAGTGTCGAGCTCCTTCTGTTACATGTAAATCTCCAAGCTGTGTGGTTTTGTCCTGGGAGGTAAGACCAGCTCTGCCTTCATTCCCACACACCTTGTTAAAACACAGACCCATGTGAGAGTCCCCATGCATCTCACTGCAGAGGACGGTCTTCTCTGATTGACCACTGATTGATTTTTTTTCTAACTTGCGTCTTCCAGGCACCCCCTTGTAACGGCGCTGCAGTAACAGAGTTCCGTTTAGAATGGGGAGCTGCTGAAGGCACCATGCATGTGTGCTACACTGGACCAGGACTCAGCCACGAGATGAAGGGGCTGCTCCCTGCTACTAACTACTTCTGCAGAGTACAGGTGTGTGCTTACAAAATCTTTTTTTAAATTATCTATTATAATCACAGTGCCAATTCAAACTATCACCAAGCCATGAAATCACATCTTGATTTTAATTATAATATAGTAATTTACACAACCAAATAGGATGTAGAAGTAAATGCACAGCTAGCAGCAACATTGACTTTGGTCTTAGTAAATACCCAAACAGTTACAAAACCCAGAGATCATAATCAAGGTGTTCCTTTTTCAAGTTTTTTCCAGGAGAAATTGGCATATTGACAACTGTTACCGGTCTGTGGGCCATTTGGTATTGGGCCGCAGGGCAATAATTAAGAATTTACAAACAAAAATTTACTTCAGTTAATATTTATTTATTTATTTTAAGTAAAACAGAGGTCTACATTTATAATCATTAGAGAAGAAATACAAGTCTTTGCAGGATCCTTTGGATAAACTACTGAAAATAATAAGATTGTTTGACTTCAAGCCTCAAATACTTCCAAATATATACAATCAACTTTGGGATGATTTCAGAGGTTTGGAAAACAATTGTGTTTTAGGATTAAGACATTTCAAATTATCGTTGCACAACATTTTCATGCTGTTTGTTTAATTCACAGCATTGGGTGGGACAGAAATACTGAATACTAAATTGAGATTTTTTCCAAGTCTCAGCAGCTATGTTTACACTAGAACTCCACCTTGTGGTCATTTATAGATCTTACACATGTCCATTCACATGTCAGAGGAGAAGTTGACGAGGAAACCATTTAAACACCTCGTGTATGATTTTCTGATGTTGGTGTGCAGGCTGTGAACGTGGCTGGTGTGGGGCCCTTCAGCGAGGCCGTGCTGTGCCAGACCCCCTGCTCTGTTCCTGCAGCCATCGGTGACATCTACGCACTGAAGGAGTCGGAGATGCTCAGATACGGCGCTTCAGAAGAGGCAGACGAAGAAGAGGATGAAGATGAAGAGGAGGAGGAGGAAGAGGAAGGCAATTCACAGCCCACACCGCTTTACTCCCCATCTACCTGTCTAGGCATCTGCTGGGACCCACCATGTGATCATGGCTCCGAGATCACCTCCTACCTGATCGACCTGGGAGAACGACAGCCCATCGCGGTTGGCCCTGTCACCAAACACATCATTCAGCATCTGCAGCCCGACACCAGCTACAGGTCAGTTTCTCCTCACCGCTAAATCAGAATGGTCACAAATCCTAGATTACATACTTGTGTTTATTAGGTGTTCAAAGTACAGAAATCTACACAGTGGATCTTAAAATCTAAATTTACAAACATAGGTTTGTGAAGGAGTCCATTTATTTTGTTCTGTTTCTGAAATGACAACACATTTCCTTTGGACCTTTGAATATGTTGATGTATAACTATAATCAGTTTATAATTAATTATTATTATCACCGCAAATGCATAAATGTGTAAATTAACAAAGTGCTGAGACAGTGCTCTGAATACATTTGTTTATTTTATCATCATATTTATAGCACTTTGTCTCCTGGACCGTGTGACTGTCTCTAGTGATGTTTGTAGAAGAACATTCACCAATTGGCAGCACTGGTTACTGTGAATGTCCACTGACAAACATAAACCCAACACAGTTTCTAAACATAATCCAAGTTATGAGAATGAATTCACTCAACTCTCTGTCCCTATGACACAAATTCTGGCCTAATTTTTAAATGGTTTTTGTTCTACATAAAGTGCTTTTCCTTTTGAGTGTCTCTTATTTGCAGAAAGTAGATTTTTGACAAAATACTCCAGAAAGTAGATGCAATAAAATAAAGCAAACGTCATTCAGTGATGAAATACTGTAAGGACCACATTAACAGTCAGTTCAGTTTTTCTGCGGGGTTAAGCTTGGTCACTGCAGTTCTGTGATTGCATCATATTTCCCCGTCTTTCACAGGATCAGGATCCAAGCCCTGAACAGCCTGGGCCCAGGCCCATTCAGTCACACTTTTAAGCTGAAGACGAAGCCCCTACCCCCGCAGCCGCCACGCCTAGAGTGCACTGCCTTCAGCCACCAGACCCTCAGGCTCAAATGGGGCGACGGCCCAAACAAAGCTGTCACCTCAGATGCCCTCCAGTATCAGCTGCAGATGGAGGACAAGAGCGGCAGGTCAGTGGCCCATCAGTCACAGCAGGAAGTGAACGGACATAGGAGATAAAGGCTTAGTCCTCAGATAAGCAAATCAAAGTCTGTTTATGTCACTGCTGATCGGATCTGTCAAATAACCACACGGTGCCCCTCTGTTGTTACTCTACATATAAAGAAACACATAATTCCTCTTTGTCAAAAACAAAAGTGACACTGAGTTTCTTAAAACAGGAGGCAGCAAAGCCATAGCCGTACATCCTCTGTTGAACCCGAGGAATGAAAGGAAGTGCTTTGACATTTTAATGTGTTTCCTGGCCAAAAGGATTCAATCCACACATTCACTCATCTCTGTCAATACTGTACGTCCTGTCAACTACGTCGTTATCTACGTATATTTAATTACGTTTGGCCCTTTCCTGTGGCAACGCCACCTGGGAAAAGGTCAAATCACCTGTTTGTCCTCCTTACAGGATCTATTGTAAAACCACACTTCTGTTGTGTCTTATTTAGGAAGACTGCTCTTTATTTCCTGACAGAACAGGAACTTGTTAATGTTTTTTTCCCCCTCTCTCCCATGTGTCTCACAGATTTATATCCTTGTATAAAGGACCCTGCCACACACACAAAGTCCAGAGGCTTAATGAGTCTACCTCTTACATGTTCCGCATCCAAGCCTTTAACGAGGCGGGCGAAGGGCCCTTCTCCAATGTTTACACGTTCACCACCCCACGATCTCCTCCTGCCCCGGTCAGAGGTACTGTTCACTTCATTTAGATGCTGTTATTTTCTGGATTTTCTTGGTCTTTGTCTGTGTCCGTCTTCACTCAGCCTGTGCTCAATCCGATCTTATCTCTTACAAACATTCGTCGCTGCCATTCACAAACACAAAGGGAGCATGCTCAGCTTTCAGCATACTTTCGGCTGACTTGTATTTGATCAGGAGCTTGGCACCAGTGAATCTCAGCAGCTTGCATCACCTGGTGGTTCATCTCTCTGCTCTGATCTTGATTAGATGCTATAAAGCCTTGTTTGATCCAGCATTAGGCAGTTAAGAAGCACACCAGAAGCTTTTTTAGTCTCAGCAGAGTGATTTGTCAGTGAAACTCAACACTACTCTTCTCTCCACAAGTATCACCGGCACAATTTAGAAAAATATTGTTTAGATATTACACATTTTGAACGTTGTTTTTAATTTTATTTTGCTCTTGTGATTGAAAAGCCTGTAAACAATATCGATGTTCAGGGCATTGTAAAATGTTCACAAGGAGCAGTTGGTGTGATTCAGTATGTAGAGCAGAAGGTCAAATGTTTGTTTACTGAATAATCTAACATTTAGTAATTATTTCATAATGGCTCGACACAAAACAGTGACCTCACAAAGCTTTGTTTTGGTACCGATGTTTACACCACAGGGACCTGGAGCTGAACGGACGTCTGGGACTATTTTTCAGTTCAAAAATAATTTTTGCTACAGATAAAGGACCCTTGTGGAGCAAAGAATTATAACAGTGGAACTTCAAATTGCAAACCTCCTGACGTGTGACTGTTCAATTATTTTTTATATTATTATTTTTTTTAAATGGAAATTTAAGAGATCATCGAGTTTCTTTCATGAAACCTTTCACCAAAAAAAGAACTTTTTCAGGCACTTTAGTTGTTTTTTTAAAAGTCATTCTGTTGACAGGAATGAGTGGAGATTGTAAATTGTAGAACAAGGGAATGAAATAATATATCTGTTTGAATGAAAGACTGAGTGGAAATGGGAGGCACTGGGGAAACTGAAGGAGGTTTTATGGTTGATATGGAAGGTTGGGAGACACGTGATGATCCTGCTGTAGTGTTGAGACCTACTGTTTACCTAATGTTTATGTTTTGGAGACAGTCTTAATAATGAGAGTTAAAAAAATTAAAGTTTTCACAGGAACCAGGATGAAGAGGATTAGAAGGGAGAAGAGAAGTGGGCAAGCAGAGATTGATCAGATTAAAGATGAAGTTAAAGATGAAGTGAAGTGACAATGGTTTGGAGATGAGTTTCTGAGTAAAGAAACTGCAGCTGTTTGAACATGTACTGTTGGTGACGAAGCTGCGAGATGAATTACAGGAGGTAATGCACGTGGAGTGACATGGAGGATGCTTTGGCAAGTATTTATGTTCTGGTAGTATTTATTTAATGAAAAAGCAGCTCATTCATTTGTTGTTGAATATGTACAGATGAATCACAGGCCTGTGTTTGTTTGTAATTCCACTGAGTCACACGTTAAACATGTGATGAATGCTAAGGTTGGTTGTTTCTGTTGCAGCTTCCCTTTCATTCTCATTCATCCCAGCTTCACTCTCACTTCGCCACATGTGTAAATTAGAGCACGACACTGTTGAAGAGTTCACACTTCTGAACACGTGTTGCTACTGTGTATCTGTATAAACCTGTTCCCCAGCCTGTTTATAGCCGGCGTGACGTCAGTCTGACGTCAGATGCCGTAAGTAGAGCAGTCGCTGCTATTTGTATTTCCACTTTCAGAACATTGACCTTTCCCTGATCTGCCTGCTCCGTGTCTCCTTTAAAACTTAATAAGCACCGACAGTAGACGGCCCTTTTTTAAATAAAGTCTTGCCTTTGCAGAGCCTTTAATTATTTTTCTCTGTCCCCTCCTATCCACCCCCCCATCTTCTCTCTGCAGCCCCTAAAGTGGAGCGTCTCGATGACAACTCCTGTGAAGTTACATGGGAGGCCCTCTCCCCGATGAAGGGAGACCCGATCACATACACCTTACAGTGCATGGTGGGAAACTCTGAGTTCAAACAGGTACCGACATCACTGTCCAAAGCCGTGTCTGTACTGTGTTTAGCAGCGGCCCAGCTTCCCTTCATCACTGTGGCCGTTTGATGCAGATGTATCTTAACGTTTCACTGTCGTATTCCCTGTTGTTTTTGTAACTGTTATAAAACAAAAAGGTCGTTCATCTTTGAGGCGTCTCTGGTGACCATTTGCTTCCGGCACATACATTCATCCGTTTATGCAGTGGTGCACTAGTAACTGTAGGATTATGCTAATCTCACCTTGTTCTACGCGGAAATTTAATCAGGGGAAGAAATATGTGTGACTGCCACCTGTACTGTTGATATCAGCTGTGTAGAGTACACAGTACACAACACAGTACAGTTGTTTGTTATGAAAGTGAATACTACAAAGTACAATAGTCAATCACTGTGAATAAAAAAAAAAGGTCATTTGTATGATGTTTTAAATGAGCACATTTGACCGAAGCAACAGTTCAAATCCCTGGCTTTAGTCGGTTTTCAACTTTTCCAAAATAAATAAATAAATAGATTTTTATATAAAAATGTGTGTTTTTTTTAACAATGATCAGTAATTTAAACTGCCAATATGACTGAACTGTCTTTGTACTGAGCAGAGAACCTCCGCAGAGCCATTAACTTTTTAGCATAAAGTAGCTAACTGTAGCTGACACAACATGTCTTTGCGGTTCAGTGATGATTATACCTTGTAAATACACACTGAGCCAACACAACAAATAAGAAATGTAAATGATCTAAATAAATGATATAATATAATACAATATTATATAATGAAAAATTAAAAAGTGGATATTAATGTTTAGGAGGAAACAACAGGTGTGTTTCTCCAGTTAATTATTGGAAAATAACAACGATGTTGTTGGACCCGTCTGTTGTCCATTGTCCACCTATTTTGTAGGTGCATTTTCTAATATTGTCTCTAATATTTTACGGTCCTGTCTGGTCTCTGTCCTCTCAGGTCTACAAAGGTTCCGCCAACTCGTTCCACCTGCAGAACATGCAGCCCAACAGCGACTACCGTTTCCGTGTGTGTGCTATCAGGCAGTGCCAGGACGCCCCGGAGCTGAGTGGCCCCTACAGCCCCACGGTGATCCTCACATCTCAGCGGAGCGACACGACAGCAGGTGGTAGTAACGCGTCCGTCCCAGGGTCCCGGTCCAGCACAGAGTCGAACAGGGCCCGACGCAGCCTAACGGATGAACAGTGTGCTTTCCTAATCCTGATGGTCTTCGCCATCATCGCCATCCTCATCGCTTTCGTTATCCAGTACTTTGTCATAAAATGAGGTGTGAAAATGGTGTGTATCTCCCAGCTGCAGGGTTATAGCTTTATTCTTTCCCCTTTCTCCCCCGTCTTCCCTCTGACTCTTTGTTGTTTTGTAAGCTTTTGTTTCATCCTGATTGTTTTCTCTTGTCAGCGGAGTAAATTGTATTGCTTGTTTGTCAGGGCGTCAGGCGGAGGATGGACCGACAAATTAGACCTGGATTAAAAAAAAAAAAAAAAAAGAAGAAGAAATCCAGGACGTAACACCTTATTCTAAAGCATTACAGCGTCTGGTCCTGAATTCGTGGCCCTGTCCTTAACTATGTAGTTTGTGTTGATTGGTTCTGATCAGCTTCCTGTGCATAAAGAAGTCAGAAAGAGCAGGGATACGATTAATTCTCGGCGGGAGGGGGCGCTGCGACTCATGTACTTGTTGATTATAGTTTTATATATATATATATATATATATATATATAAATATAGTCATTATTTATATTTCCAGTAATGTGCTCAGTATGGAACTGTTTTTGATAGGTGTGTTATGTAGCCTACGTGCTATTAGATCCTGGGACCTGGTGGGCCAGTGTTTGCACAATGCGGTGTGTGTAAGTGTGTGTATGTGTGTGTGTGTGTGTCCAGAAACAAAATTTTATGTAGTCAGTGCCACTGAGGTACACGGCTGGGAAGGTCTCAGGGCCGCGTGATTAGCCTTGAGCCTCTGCTGGAGTTTAACGTCTGGGTCACGCCTTCAGTGTTTCTGTGTTTGTGGAGAGACAAAAAAAAAAACAAAAAAAAACTTTTCTGCAAAAATGAATGTGCAGTTTTCAAATCACGTCCTCATGCTTTTGCTGAGGTGTCCAGATGTGAGAGGTGGCTGTAGCTCTGTTAAAGAATCTTAACAAAGGTATCTGCTGGTTTTTGGAAAAAAAAAACAAAAAAAAAAAACATCCAACTCGTATCAATGTCTCATGTTACTTGACTGGAGACAGTGAGTTAACATGTTGTGAAATGTTGTAGTTTATGGTGATGACTTTAACAAGCGGGGGTTCTTACACCTGTCACAGCTACATACTCACCCCAACAACTATGACATCACAGTTTCCAGCCTCGTTAACTTTTTATGGGTAAATGGACTAAATGAGATTTTTCTGCCGTGCTGTTGTCAGGTTGGGTTCTGAGAGTTAGAAATGTGAGAGACGGAAATGTCTGACACTGAGCCACACGTCCTTCTGATTTATGTAGTAAAATAGAATCAGGTGGGAATGGTATTAGAAGTACTCTCTCATCTTAATACTCTGTAGCTTCATTCATATCCAGGTGATGTTGCAGAGCAGGAGCAGACAGCGATTACTGTAATTACAACAGAGGCACAGTTAAAGAACAGTCGTCGAGAACAGAGCTAGTTCCATGACGAATAAGAAAAGAAATGGCCACCGATTTTTCACTGTTCCTGCCTGGAGGAGGGGAGAACATGAGGGAGAAACCATGTGTGACGGCTGAACCGTGGGTTGATGCTAAGTCTTATTGACGGATCGGGTGATTTCTCCTTGGCTGAAATGACATCACCAACCTTACTGTTAGGTCAGTATTTTTGCAACATTTTGCATAAAATGACAACACTGGGCTGCAACATCGTTCTGCAACAGTGACAAATACAACAGACCATAAGAGCTGAGGTCACTGAGAAAATCAAGTCACGCCTGTTTTATAAATACCAAGGAAAACCTGACAGGAGTGGAAAACATGGAACCTGGTTCCAGATGACGAAATGGGTGAATGAGCTCCACGGCTTGGTTCATATGAGAAGGTCATGGTTTTAATCTTATGGTGACGTTTGTTCTGTGTGAGAACGACGGCGGTGTTTAAATCCCTGGTATCTGAGTCAGATTGAATGAATGAACATGTGCAGTTTCCATTGACTACCATTCAAGCTGCCTTATTTTTCAAACCCAGCAGAGCCTTCCTGTTCTCTCCACTCATGGTCATCACTGAATTAGCCACACACAGTTTGTCCAGTCGGTGCACGTCCAATCAAATCTAAGGCTGCCCACAGACTGAAGTAACAACGGTTTGAACGAACCCGCGAAGCCTCAAATCGATGACAGAGCTGAGGTCACGTTAACCCCATCTGACCTCCGCAGACACAGGAAGGTGGGGAGCATGACCCAGGCCGGGGAAGATTTGTAGCAAGAAAAGACAGGGGAAACGGAAAGAAGGAAAAAAAAAAAGTCTCATGTTATAGAACGTTCATTTAGCACTTTCCATTTGATGTTCAGAATGTTTAAGGATGCAAAAACGACTGGAGAAATGTTTAGTATATTTTTGTACAGTGACAACGATGCAAGGACCTGTAAAGTTTAAGAAATAAAAAAAATCATGCTCAGTATAAAGTTAGAAAAAAGAGGCAAAAACCAAACTAACAGTGACTTCTAATTATTTTTATGATCATAGTTCTACTGTAGCTTGTTTTTACAACCATGCAGCTGCTTTACTCTGAAATGTTGTTCTTCGGCACAAAACGTGTATGCTTATCTGTGTTCTCCTTTTTACTTCCTTTCAGTCTCTCCCCTCCTCACAGTCATTGATTTTGCACCTTAGTGAAAGAAAACCTGGGCTGATGGTGTCTTGGTCTTGTGATGCATTTTATAGAACACACGTTAAGATTGTGCCAGCCCTACTTGTGTTTTTGGGTGTTTTAAAATTTGTAGAACCACATTATGTGTCACTGAAACAGCTGTTCTGTCTCTGCAAAAAAAAAAAAAAAAGAGAAAAAAAATCAAACACAAAACAAAGAAGTTGTTTCACAGGCCTTAATTGGAGTGGGAACAAAATCTCGGGAGAACTTTCTTAATTTCTCTTAATTTTTGATGTTTTTTCTTTTAGTGTTACAAAACACTAAACTATGTTTTATTTCCTTTTATTTTTGCAACAATTATTTGATTTAAGTAAAACATGTAATTGTGAGAGATATTGAAAGTAGTTCCGTGTATTCTATATAATTTTCTCTTTTTTTGTTGTTTTTGGTCAGGTCATACATTTGTGAAGTATATTTTTTTATAATATTGAAGTAATATAAGTTTATTAGTCTCCAGAGAAAATATTAAGCCCGCATAATTCATGTCATGCAAACAGCAGATAGAGAATCTCATGTACTTCCTGTGAATCAAACATTTGCCTTTTTTCTGTGTGCGTTCAAGTATCGAGTCCCAGTTGTGTTTTTCTGCTGGTATGTGGTTTGTTGGCTCAAGTGTGTTTCATTTTTGTTTTCTGTTTTTTTTTTTTCTCAGGCTGGTCAAATGCTCTCTGAATTGTTCAAAATAATTGCAGGTACTTTGCAAAAACTTGGAGTAATTACATGATTTGGTCTTGGAGACATTCTGTCAATGTCTTCTCTGTCAGCAAAACCAGGCAAATTCCTATTTTTGATAGCGATTGCAGTGTGTGCCATTTGAACGCCTCTTCAGCCCTAGGCCTCACCACCTTGGGCCGAATGCTACGAAAAGGAGTAAAATATGCACAAAATAGAGACCATTTTTATGTAATTTTAATGTTTGCAGTTACCTCATACACCGTACATTCCAAAATTAAAAATTGTTATACTATACATATTACCAGACATATCACTTTAAAATGTTCGTTATGGGAAAAATGTATAATCATAGGTATGTATCTAAAAGTGTATCTGTATAGCCATGATATCTACGAAGAATCCATGCACAATAAAAGATTTATTATTCTTACCTCTGCCTCTGTTCTGTTTGCTGTTTCAGTCACACTGATGTTTAGACGCTACAAATGATAACAGCGAAGAGACAATGGGAACGACCTTACGTTTTCAAAATAAAAGCTCTTTTAGACTTTATTCTGTTAGAGGTAGAGTCTGAAATACCTGTTGTTTTGAAAGATGTTCTTTAAATGAAGAAAGTAAAGGCACATGACTGGGTACTTTGACTGAAGTAAATTAGTATAACTGAAGTACATTTTTTCATTGTGTCTCACTGTGGCCCAGTACCAAATGAGGTATGGACTTGTACTGGTCCATGGACCAGGGGTTGAGGATCCCTGGGTTAGAGTTATTTTCATTTTTGGAGCTCACTTTTTTCCCTTCTGCCCTGTGGCATATTTAGTTTGCAGAGGTCTATTTTTCCAAAAATGAAAAAGGAAATAATACCTGTGATTTGATAATGCCACAAAACTTTTTTTCCATAAAGTTCCCTGGACAAATGTCGTGTCTGTTAGACCAGAAATAACTTTAGTCTTTGACTTTAGCCACTTTTTCTATTGCTTATGTGAAATGTTTCTGTTCCAAAAGGCTAATGTTGGATTAGGTTAAAGGTCAGTTTCTGTGTGGGTACAAGGAAGAGACAGTTAAATTTTTAGGGCTGCGATGCAGTGATGTAATCAGGGGAAATGTGATGATTAATTAGTGTGAAAGCCGCTCTGCCTGTTTCCTTCAGCGGTTTGTGTGCAGAACTGTGACGCTGAAGATAAACAAGCTCCGCAGGTGCAGCCACTGTGACAGAAGTAAACAGTGACCCGGGACATGGGACATTTGTTCCTGCTGCCCCTCAGGTCCTGGTGGTCAGCTCAGGGTAAACACTCACACAGCTATGTCAGCCTGACTCTAGAAGCAAAGATTTGTTAAGCTCTAATGGATGTGTTGGCTGTGAACCAACAGACCACAGAGCTGCTCATTCAGTAGCAGTCAGGCAGGAAAAACCTGCAGGACGGTGACTGAGCACCAGTACCATGTCCCGGTGACGAAGAAGAGTCAGAACTGGGTTTGGTTTGAAGGAGAAGAGAAACTTTAGTTGTTTAGTTATTGAACTCTTGGTCCAGTTTCAAGTCTTTAGCTTTGCATTTGAACTGCCCACGTGGTGATTATTGATTGATTGATTTGGCTCATCTGCATCTGTAAATTAGGACGTCACTACAGTGTTATCATCAGATGCACATTCTCTCTGCCGGATGTGTGCACTCTTTCTTACCCTCTCTAGACCTCAACATGTTTTTGAACCAAGGACCGGTCAGCTGTTATCAGCCGTTACTGTACATTAAGTTTTCAAAATAAAACATCCTGTTGACTTTCTTCTGTCAGTGTCAGCGTCTGAATGACCTGTTGTTCTGAAACGTTGCCTGATTATCTTTGAATGAAAAAGTAAAGGGATAGGACTGGATTTTTTTAATGAAGTAAATTAGTAAAACTGAAGTACATTTTTTCACTATCCTACACTGTGACCCGGTACTAAATGACCTATGGATCGGCACCGGTCCCTGGACCAGGGGTTGAGTGCCCCTGCTCTAGATGATAGGATATTTGATTTGTTTGTTGACATTTAGTGACTGCTGTCAATAAACAGCCTACCAGGAAAACCAGTAGACTCTGGATGTTGGATGTTACAATGTCTTTAGATGTATCAAAACTACTTCAAATTAATATGAAACTAACTTCCAGTATGTAATCATTTGAAGGTAACTGTGATGAGAGGAGATGCCCTTTGTTCTAATTCAACATGGCAACGGTTTTGTCGAGGACGTTAAAGCAGGAGGACGCAGCAGTGTGGAGGTGAGACGCTTTGTTACCCAGTGTTTTTATAACTAACGTGTGATGACCAGGAAAATAAAAAATCATCCCCAGCTTCGTAAGTAAATATATTTGATCCAGTTATTTTGTACAAAAACCTTTTTACTCTTCCATACCTGATGTCTCTGCGTGAATCAGCTCTTCCACATTTGTTTACACCGTCGTTCCCTGACCTCGTTGGCCTCCTCTAAACACTGGCTGTCTTCTCTCTGCATTGTGTGAAGCTCAGTTTGTTGTAACAAGGCTGATAGAAAACGTGAGGGTGAGGAGGAAGAGCCTGTGGGAGTGAGGAGTGATGAAGGTGGCGCACGGAGACAGAGCAAACACACAACTCGTTTTTCACCAGTCGCCGGGCGAACCGGCCGGGATTGAAGTGATTGATGCGTCCGTTGGTCGGTGGAGTCGTGCTTCTCCCGCGCATATAACAGATCAGCGCTCGTGTTTGTGATGTAAATCTGCCCTTCATCCTCGGAGACCAGCGGCTCAGAAGTGAGTGTGATGAAGGTGGCTCTCCCCTCCAATGTTACACCCTTCACTTTCTGTCATCCATTCGCTCTTTATTTGATTATGTGGTGACTCCCTCACATTCACACCCAGAGCAGACGGCCTCACCCAGTGACTCCCCAGGATGCTGAGGAGGAGTAGGAGGTGGTCCTGTCTTCACCCCCCACCACAGCTCCACTGGCAGTTTAGCAGAGACCATCTCTATCACCTCATGTCTGCTGCTGCTGCTGCTGCTGCAGTTTGCCGTCAACGCACAGACGCCTGGGAAAAGTTACGATTCTGGAGAAAAGAATTTCAGCTCAGCTTCACAGGTAAGGAAACTTTTACAATTTCTGGTTTTGAACTTTTAGCTTGACTCAACATTAATTGTCGATGTTTTAAAAATTGTACTTTCACAGTCAGTGATGTCTGTGCTGTGACAGCCACAGAAATGTCAAGATTTAAATTAAAGCTGTCAATCCACGTTTTCACAGAGTGTGATAACTCCAGCTTCTACTAAAAAACAAAACAAACAAAAAAAAACCAACACTTTTTGCTTTTGTTATTCTGTGCATGATTCCTCATTGTGCGACGTAAAAAAGTTATTTTATTTCTTATAATTATTTTTTTTCTATTTGTTGTTGTTATTTCTCATTCTTATTTTTATCCTTATTCTGAGACATATTTTCTTTTCTTATTCTTATTGACAGTGTCTTATTGACCCTGCTGGTCAAACCAGATTATTTGAAGGTGACAGATGGTGTTAGCAAAGTGTCCGTCTTCACGATCTCACCTCTCTCTCCTTCCAGCCGCCTCTTTGGAACTGATTTCATAAATTGCTGTAGCTGCACTCATGCCCTGGACAAGACCACAGGTGGATATGGATGCAGGTGGCACAGAGGTCATGGAGCACTTCAACATAGATGACCACCACTACGAGGGCTCCCTGTTCCCCACCTCCACCCTCATCCCCGTCACCATCATTTGCATTCTCATCTTGATTGTCGGAGTGACGGGAAACACCCTGACCATTCTCATCATCCAGCATTTCAAGGACATGAAGACCACCACCAACCTCTACCTGTCCAGCATGGCAGTGTCTGACCTGGTCATCTTTCTCTGCCTGCCCTTTGACCTCTATCGCCTGTGGAAGTACGTGCCCTGGCTGTTCGGCGAGGCCGTGTGCCGCTTCTACCACTACATCTTTGAGGGCTGCACCTCCGCGACCATCCTCCACATCACGGCCCTTAGCATCGAGCGCTACCTGGCCATTAGCTTCCCTCTCAAAAGCAAAGTGATGGTGACCCGGCGCAGGGTGCAGTACATCATCCTGGCCCTGTGGGTGTTCGCCCTGGTTTCTGCCGCCCCCACTCTTTTCCTGGTCGGGGTGGAGTACGACAACGACACACACCCGGACTTCAACACAGGTCAGTGTAAGCACACCAGCTACGCCATCAGCTCCGGGCAGCTGCACATCATGCTCTGGGTCTCCACCACCTACTTCTTCTGCCCCATGCTCTGCCTCATCTTCCTCTACGGCTCCATCGGCTGCAAACTGTGGAAGAGCAAAAACGACCTGCAGGGACACTGCGCCCTGGCCAGAGAGAGGTCACACAGACAAACGGTCAAGATACTGTGTGAGTGAATCAGAGTTGTTACCTTCAAATGATATCCAACCAGAGCCATTCAAACTCACTGGGCAAATACTGGGTTAGAGGCAGTCACCCACTGGTCAGTCTATAACAGGACAAGCTAACTTTTATATATATATATATTTATACATATATATAATGTGTGTGTGTATATATATACAGATATAGAGTCTATACACTGACTGTTGTGTCAGTACTGTTGACGTGTCCTGCTGTGGCTCTTACTCATGTTTGTCATTTTCAGCTCTGGCATTCACAGCTACAAGAACAGACAGCATCATTATTAATGTTGGTGAATGAGCCGTTTTGTCATATTAATGATGTTCTTAGCAAATCATGGAGACACACCTCCATGTAACTGTTGCTTGAATCTGAAATTGGCTTGTCTCCAGATGCCTCCATAAATCAACATTAATTACGGCTGTGCAGAGGCACCGCTACAGTATACTCTACGGCTGGTGTGTAATGATTGTTGAGTCCACCGGAGGCAGTACATGATGAAAACGCCTGTTGAAATCTACGACACACACCTTTGTGTTGTAAATTACTGTAGCTACTGATTTAGTCCAGTTTCATGTCATGTGTTGAACTAGGCTTTTACAGCCATTTGTACATGTACACAGTACACAGTACACAGTACACAGTACACAGTACACAGTACTGTTCATACACTATAAAAACCTCTCAACTTCATCATTGGGAATAAAGCTATAAACTGCACATGTGTGTAAACAGTATATGTGCATGTTTTTCCGTGTGGACTGTACAATGTACTGCAATATTAACTTACATACTGTATATATTTACAGTACATCAACAGCTGTACTGATTTCAATTGTCTTGCTGAAGTCTTGATACACAGTTAGTAGGTCGCCTCTGTAACGACTGTGGGTGTGACCCTGGGTCACACACGAACTTTGGACGGCAATTTCTCATGTTTTGCTGGTTGGCCGTACCTGTCAGAACGGCAGACACTATCTTCCTGTTCCACCCCACAGATTCAAAACACTTAGTTTTCTACTTCAAGTCTCATAACAATAAGCTACACGGTGGTGGGCTGACCGCGTCTGTGTGTGTGGGTCTTCCACAGATTAGGGATTAGGTTCCTTTAAATTGCTAGGATTGTCTCCAGTTCTTCCATTGACTCCAGACAGGATTAAGACAGAGAAAATGAACGGATTAACTGTGTATTGACTCCAGACAGGATTAAGCCAGAGAAAATGAACGGATTAACTGTGTACAATAAATATTTGTTATGGTCGCAATGAGCCAACGTTGAAGAACATTGACTGACAGCAGGCTTCAGTGTCTATATTCATCCATGTCTACTCTTCCATAAACGCCTAACAGTAGTCAGGTACTAGGTTTTGTGTTGTTTTAATGCGTAGTGTTACTCTGTAGTCTATAAATACAGTGAAAATTCAACATGAGAAATGACTTTCACCGACCACCAGCCGAAGTCTATGATTCAAACACTATTTTTAAATGCATTAATATTTCCTGAATTAAACTCATCACCACTGCTTCTCCCCCTTCTCTTCTAGTGGTGGTGGTCTTGGTCTTCATCATCTGTTGGCTCCCATATCACATTGGCAGGAACCTCTTCGCCCAGGTGGAGGACTATGAAACCGCCATGCTGAGCCAGAATTTCAACATGGCCTCCATGGTGCTCTGCTACCTCAGCGCCTCCATCAACCCCGTCGTCTACAACCTCATGTCCCGAAAGTACAGAGCTGCAGCCAAACGTCTCTACCTGCTGCACCGGCGGCCAAGACAAGCACGCAGCACCGGGGGCGGAGGCCAGAGACAACTGACGGAGCACATCTCCACCCTAACTGAGAGCATGAGTGTGGTGTGACACGTCGGTTCTCTGTGACATCACGCACATGAGTTCACTTCAGTTTTACATTTTACAGCTACACAGACGTGAGGAATATGTTTTTGACAGTTTTAGAGCAGAACAGAACTACAATGGAAAGAAAAGATGAACAATAACAGGAACTAGTTTAATTAGATTTTTTTAAATGCTACATTCTCTATGAAACATTTAAAAAAATATATATCATAGTCGATGTTGATAAAATAGCTTAAATATCAAATTTTTCCATTTTACTGTGGTCTATAATTAACATTTAACACCACGACAACACTTAGCACCTTCCTGTTCTGACGTTCTAAACCTTTAGCGGTCTGAAATGTGAGTAGTTACTTTTAGATTTAAATATCTGTTAGTCCTGAGGAATAGACAAGACCATAATGTTCTATGAACACCTGTTAAACTGCAGGGCTACTGTACATGTCAACTGTTTTCTGCTGTGGTAGATTTTTGGTGTCATGTGATTTAAATTGATTTGATATATAATGAACAGCAGCCATTAATCTGTAAGTGTTGGTGTGAATCAAGAGGAAAATATTCTTAGCAAAAGGTGATAGTTTTTAGAAGTACAGATCTGATACTGGGTTTTCTAGTGTCCTTTAGATTAGATTCATATTTAGAACCATCATGGTTAATAGTGGGATCTAAGCCTGGTTCTGGCAGAACCGTATTTCCTCCTGTCGGCCATTACCAGGTTATCATTAGTGGACTTTATTTTATTTTATATTTAATGGCCTTGAATAATTAGGGCATAATCTGAAACACGGATGACAGAAAACTTTGTGATGCGTACTGCAGGCCATAAAGTGAATAAATAAATAAATGTGTGTGTGTGTATGTGGTGCCTTTGTGTGTGTATACATATCCATTAATTCAACCCTCTGTCTTTTTATTATTCATAGTTGATATACATAAACATAACAACTTAAAAAAAAAGCTTTTGACGAAATTGCCAGATGGTGTGTGTGAGACTCTCCACAGACTGATATTGTTGACGACCACGACAAAGTTTTGAAAGAAATTTCCAAGGCGTTGAGAAGCCACCATTAAGATGTAAAGACTAAAACCCCAACAACTCTATTAAGCTGCATTTTTATGATACTTTTCTAGATATTTTTATATAATCATTTCAAATGGAAAAATGTCCTCATTTCAGGATGAAGATACACTGAGGACAATGGTCGGCTTTGTGCAGTTGTTTTATACATTATTTTAAAATTATAAATTGAATAGCAGCCCACATTTGCACAGACTTTTGTTTATTTACATGGCTCTTCAATGCCCCCCCCCCCCCCCCCCCCCCGTAACATAGGCCACCTGGGCCCTAGAGTGGGGCTGCATACGTGCCGACCATCACATATAACCTGACCTGGTTATTTCATTACCTTGGCTCTGAGTTAGATTCACACGGACAGATGACGTCCCTGCATAAGCACATTGAAAAACAATGGCTGCTCTGAGTGCATCTCAAGTAGGAGGGAGGAAAGAGGACGTCACCAGTGATGGAGCTCTGTGTCATGTTAATGCCTCCTCCTGCATGATGTTGACACTGTGTCACATGGTGTGACATCTGTCTTTGATTTTTAAAACTGAAAATGTATATAGAGAAAATTACGTTTTCCTATGTGGCCACTGTAGAAGGTGACATTAGTGTTAGAGCATCATTACAAAATATAAGCGATGGTTCTGGTTGTAGATGAGCATTTCAATTCAAATATAAACAATATATAAATTATATTATATATATTATATATTTTTTATTGTAGTGTGTAGCAATGACCACATACTATGAGGATTTAATCATATTGTGTCGTGGAGATACATACATGTAATCAGTGAATTGACATAAAAAGTCAAGCCTGGTCATTAGAATAGTAGCTCTAATACTCTATTACATTTCTATTATGTGATACTGCATGCCACCACAGAGTGTCACTACTGAACAGTTGCCCACTAGACTTTCAGTTATATGGATAGGCCTCATTAATACATGTAGTTGAGGTTAGGTTTTGGACATGATAATGTCCACAAAGTTGTGTGTTTTTCTTACAGTAAAGTACACATTTCCTCTGCACTACAAACAAACGCTTGATGGAATTTACAACGTTTCCTAAGGAAGTAAAAATGCAATTCAATAAATCAATAGCAGCTGAAGAATAAATCTACAGCTAATAGATATGGAAGAACAGCAGCAGTGATTTTTTTGCAGCTGTTCATCTGATCCTTGGTTAATGTTTAGTACAGTGTACACAGTATACACCGATTACACAATACTCAGAGTTCTGAATTGTATGTTTTGATTGCAACAGGAAGTAAAGATTTCCTGTGTGGCTCTGTTGAGCAGCGTGGTTGTAAAAGCTCCTGTCGGTGTTCACCAGGTTGTGGAGAAGATGTGAAGAAGAGCACAGTACACGACTCTGGGCTTCTTTGTTCCTCACAGTACTGTGCAGTCTGATGTGATATCAGATCTCGTTGCTTCAGGTCTGACAAACAAACTGATTCTCATCAGGAACCCTGCAGTCGTGACAAGAAGTCTGAGCAGAATAATGAACTTTTGTCCAAGTTTCCCTCTGATCTCTACCTGCTGGAAATGCTTTCTTCTTCAGGTCAGAGAAATCAAGATCAGAACATCAGGGTCAGCTGGAGCGGTGGCTCCTCACATACTGTGAAAGCAGTGCTAGATATTTTGGAAACTTGTCCTTTCTTGTCCATCTAATACACGAATGAAGACACAACATTTTTGACGTTCCTTGAAGCTGAAAATACTGGTTCATTTATCTGAAATCTCTAGTAAAGGGATGGAGATACATTTTTTTATAGCACTTAACATTTCGACTCGTTCAATTTTCTGTCGTCCTTGGATGACACATACAGACTCCATTTACTGCTAGAGGTCTTTTTCAACACCTCCACACTGCAGAAAATAAGAGCTTCATATTGAACAACAGGTTCATGGACTGATTCAAATGCCAAACACTGTGTTCTCTAACGGTGTATTTTCACGATGTAGTTTCTGTGGTTGGTATGGAGACTGTGAGGTCTGTCTGTCTCCCCTTCTTCCTGTGTGTGTGTGGTGTTGATCAGCGTCATCACACTCACCTGTGTCTCTGTTCATTAGTCTCACTGGTGTCACCTGGTGTCTTGTGTCTATATACCCTAGTTCCTGCCTGGTCCTGTATCCAGTGAGTTTCTGTTATTTTGATGTCGAATAAACTTGATCGACGGCTCTCTAGTGCTGCGTTTGGGTCGTGCCTGCTGCACCAACAAAGAGTAACAAGAACTACTTTGAAGGTATTAAGTAATACTAACAGCTACTTGGTACTTTGGTACACACGTCCTGATTATGTACTGTACATAGTCCATGAGGTCTACCTATTCACCCCTGTCCTATACACTGTCAGTCTACTGTCCTCAGAACCAGGTAACAAAGTTTTCTTGACTCTTAGCTTCTGTTTAACTGTTGTCTGAGTCGTCCTCTAAACCATTGTTTCCCAAAGACTGGGTCGCGACCCTCAGGTGGGTCGCAAAATATTTATTTTGGGTCGTCTCGCATCATGTTTCTCAGGAGTTTACGAATAATGTTTATTGACTTGGGTGGCGAAGGTTTGTGATTTTTAATATCTGGATCCCCAGAAAAAAAAGTTTGGGAAACACTGATCTAAACACTGGTTGGACTTCACAAAGGTGGAAAACCATGGCTCCGTTGCGCCTTCATCTGTTTTTTTTGGCTGGAGCCAGCTTCAGAAAACACACTTTACCAGTTAAAAGTATTGTGTGTGTGGCCTATCAGTCATAGTTACTGGAGTGCTGAAAACTCTCCCTCTCTGTATTATTGATATTAAACCAGAGGAGGGAGACATAGTTTAATATAATCTGAAGATTTCCACTGTTATGATGGACAAGATCAATATGGACTTGAGGGAAAAGTCTAAAGGCCTGACGGTCTCAGTCAGCTGTGACATCAGACAGGGTGAGATGAAGGCAGATCATTAGCTGTGGTGACATCTGAAGAAAACAGACGGAAGAAGAAACAGATGCTAAAGATCGTGATACAAAGACGATTGTTCTCCTCGTGTTCACGAACATTGATTTTTGGCTCAAATCTTTATTCACTGTTTAATTATTGATTTGTTTTGTACCAGTGTAATTGGTCACTACGGACTGGAAGAAAACAAATGTGTTTGTGTGACGGTGACCAGATGTTGTCAATGATGTTTTGACCATAAATGTAGGAGAAAGAGTCACATTAACACAGGAAGTTTATACTTTGGAGAATTGACCTTTAGTTCCATTTCACAAATCATAACGGTGAGTGTCTCTCTTTCCTTACAGTAACTGGCAGCTAATGATAATATTAGGCCAATTCAGGGTTGTTGCTTCTTTATTCTTTATAATAAAAGTAAATTCAACAAGTTGATGTAAATGTTCCTCCATGGTTGTGGTCCATGTAGACATGAAAGCACTGAACTGTTACTGCATATGTGTTTGTGTCTGCACATCCATCCAACTCAGCACTTGTCAAATAGTGGGGCGGGGCCCCCTGGGGGTTCAAAGAGATGCCGGGTGGGAGGAACGGGGGCGTGAGAGGCTTCCAATGCAATATGGCATTGGAAGACGTTGGACAGAAGTGTCACTGCTGGAATACTTAAATGATAAACAAGCCTCCAGTCACTAGGTGGCAGCAACTCAAACAGTGGTTTGCGCAGATAAGATTTGATGGCGTTGTGACTTTGAATGTCAAACAGGTCCTGAAGGTCTTTTATTAAACTGAGAGTTGAAAAGTATGGATACTCATGAGTATTGATTGAGTATCAATTACTTTAATAAAGTATGAGTAAACTGGTAACTTCATGCACCAGATATTTGATTAATTTTAACTTTTAGGATCAGGACTGAAGTTCAAAACTTGAAAGATATTGTGATTTTCGAAGAGGAAATCTTCGTCCCTAATGGCTGCAATTAAATATTACATTATTACATGTAAAAAAAAAAGTTATGTCATTTATTGTTACAGATTTTTTACTTAAAATACATATTAAAGTTGCCAAATGGCCAGTAAAACACAGTTCTGGTCGAAGGCAACGTTCAAGAAACTCTGCACATGAAACTGCTGTCAGCTGCTCCTGCTCCTCCTCCTGCTCCTCCTCCTCTCTCTGTGCATGAGGCTGATTTGGCTCCAGATATAAACACTGACTTCTTCACTGTTCACCCATAAGAAGCAGGCAGTTTGCTCCACCAGCAGAGAAAAAACACAGAGAGAGAGGGAGAGAGAGAAGGAGAAAATCAGGAGGGGACCATCTGTGGCACATTTACCAGGATGGAGGTAATTTTTATTCACTGAAACGACAATGTTTTTGTCATTATTGTCATTGTTGGTCTGCAATGAAATACATGACGCCATATTGAAATAGAGTGAGTGTGTGTGTATATATGTAGAACTATAGAACTATGTCTCCTGTCCAATGTAAATTATACGAAACATGTCTATCAAACGTATTATGTAATTACTTAATCGGTCCTTTACTCCATTATACATAGAAAAGTGACATGTGATTTATAAAATATATCAATATATAAAAGCCTATATCTTTTAACACTAACACGTGGTTTACACACGATGAAATAGGTGAAGAATAAATAACGTAATGTAATAAATATGATACATTACAATGATAAAGAACATCTAGAAGTTAACTACAAAGGACTTCAACTAAAGGAAACAGTTGGCTAGTAAATAAAAAACGTAAGAGAAAAAGTTAGCAAAACTAAATAGAAGAAAATAATGACTATTTAATAGTCTTCAAAACATAGCTAAGCAGTAGTTTGCAAAATCAAACATAACTTTGTCAAAATTTGCATTAGTCATTAAAAAGTAGCATTTCTTTTCATCGTGCAGGTTAAGAAGTATTTAAAGTGTCAAAATCCAACATGGGATTTAGTCCAAAATGTTTTAAAATGATCCAAAACCTCACAGTATTCAAAAAAAGAGGAGAAAAATAACGGATAACTCTGAACTCTCTTTCAGTGAAATTTAGTTTGATAATATCTCCCTGAAAATGTTTTCAGTGGCTAAAGAGTTAAGCTGCTAAAACTGAGATAACACACAGACAGACACACACACACACACACACACACACACACACACTGGCTGTTTCATAACAAGTCACCATCCTGACAGAGACAGGAAGTGGAGCTGACAAAGCATCTCTCAAAACTTTTGTTGTGTTGACTTCCGTCACATTGGAACAGAAATGTCAAAGTTCTCCATCAGTAGAAACTGAACCATATTTAAAAACCTTCATATCAAACTCTCAATGTTCAGATGTTTGAGTTCAAAGACTCTTAAATATGATGGTTGTTCCAGTCCAAACTCTACAAGGAAGAGTTGTTGTTGTTTTGTTTTTTTCCCGGAGGTGAAACTGTTTAGTCTGACAGTTCTTAACCTGACGGTGTGAAAGCTGCTGTTGGCTGAGTCTTCAATCATTCTGGTTAAAGCTGTGCAGAACCCTGCCCTGATCTCACGAGTTCAGGTTTCATTGGAAAAAAAAAAAAAAAAGTCCGTCTGGTGTAAATAGAACGGGGTCACGTGGTGGAATGGTGGTTACTGTTCTTGCCTTACAGCAAGATGTTCAATAACTGATGGTCTTTCTTTATAGAGTATATAGATATTTTCATTGGTCTATTGATTCAATCTGCTGCTGTGAGTGACTGATGAGCCCTCAGTCCATCGTGTCATTTCAGGTTTAAGGGTCTCCAAGATCTCACTTCCTTTTTGACCCTGTGTCTCCTGACAGGATGTTAGTTGTTTTTGGTTCCACGGGATCACACTGTAAATATTGCTGTGTGTTCTGTGTTTGAACCAACATTTACAGTAACTGGTTCTGAAAGTCAAGTGTGTCACCGTTTGTCATTTGAACCTCCCACCATCACCCTGTGGTGACGTCACACACCAGCGCTGCTCCGTGTGCTTCAGGGTGGAGGGACAAATATTGATTAACCCTTCGACAGAACTGAGAGGAACATGTTTGTACTCTGTGTTTGGGAATGAGCTGTCGTCGTGACAAACTGGAACATTGTGCATGTGTGTGGCGATGCTAGCCGCGGGGGTGGGGGGTGCACATGCACCTGAGGATTTGCACTGTGGAGTCTGTGTGTGTTTTGGGTGGAGGTGCTTCTGCAGCACCACAGCTCGAGGAGGGAGTATGTGGGATTAGCTAATCCAGCCCTATGATGTGTGCGTTTATCCTGTAATCCACAGTGAAGTAAAGAACACAGTGTAGCAGACAGACGTTATCAAAGGAGAGCAGTAGAAGATACGGTTTTCTAAGACGTAAACCTAGCCATCCATTCACACCAGTGAAACACATCAGCAAAAAGGTCACATGACAAAGGTCATCAGAAACATGATTGTTTTCTTGAGCAGCAATTCTTAACCATAGAGCCCAAACTTGGGCCACTAGCGTCACCTAGAGGGCTGCAAAAAATAGACCTTACAATTTTGCATCTATGGGCCGCATGGGAGTTATCAACTGGACACTAGAGATATGTTATCTATGAGAAGCTCAGTTATAGTGCAGCTTTGGAGAGAGGGTGACAGAGGAGAATGATGGGCTGTTTTTTGTTTTTGTTACTTAGAAGGTGGAACAGAATGTTTCCAAAAATAGTAGTAGGTAGGTTTTTTAACCTACTACTTTTAGATGATAAACGATAAACATAAATACATACATATGAAAATGTTCATTTTGTAAAACAACGTCATTTTAGTCATTGTTGTGACTTTACAAAAACTCTCTGCAGAAATAACGAACTCTGAGATCTCACATGTTTCCAGCATCTCATGTGACTTGAGACATTCAAGATCCTACTTGTACTTTCAGTTTGTGTGCACAGCTTTTCTCTGCAGCCATGTCAGGTGTTTCTGACACGTCAGCTGTTCTGTCTCCTGAGAATCAGAGATAAAACACGTGGAGTTTTTATTCATGTTAGACCACTGTGTATGTACATGTTAAATGCACTTTGCAAGTTGTTTTCTTTCGATGAAGCTCTCGTCCTCAACAGGATTAATGGCTTGATTGGTTGAAATGATATTTGTGGCTGATTGGACAACCTTTCAATCGTTAGTGGTTCCATACCTGCCTTGCAAGCAGAGAGCACAGAGTCCTGGGTTTGATTCCCAGAGGAACCACATGTCCCTAATGGCGTCTCCCATGGCTGCCGGTGTTGGTTACCATGACCCTAGACACTAGATTCAAAAAGCCAGGATAGACAAAGAAGACACAGAGGAGGTCAAGTAGAAACAAAAGTCAATAAAAAATCAAATAAGATTTAGTTATCGTCCTACAAAAGCAAAAAAAAAAAAAAAAAAAAAATGGAAGAAGAATCAAATAATCTAATTCAAGGTCAAATTCCAGGTCAAATTGGTGGGATCGTCTCTCGCTCCTCTCTGAAATCCTTTTACAAATGTTTTTAAAAACTAAAAAATATTTTTTGTGAGGTCTCTTTTGAAAACAGACCAGATTTTCCTGACATTTTCACTGCCGTTTCGTCATTTGTCATAACTGGTCACTGAAGGAGGCTTGATCAGTTGTCATATATTATTGGACCAATGTCAGGTGTCGAAGAGACAAAGGACAAATGCTGAAAATTAGCTGAATGTTCTCTGAACTGAAATCAGCTGTAAACCTCATCATGAGTCTCTGAACAGAGAACAGGTTTAAATTGTAATAAAATGGGTGATATACGTATATTTATAACACACTTGATCAAAGTTTATGTTCGCTCATTACATCATGTGCGAAAGTAAAACGCTTTGTTTTATCACCTGTCTTTAGTAGTTGTGCTGGAACCTGGCTCTGGAGGCTGTTTGTACCTTAACGACCAATCAAATGCTTCATAAAGCTGCGGAATGGGCGTTCTTTTCCAAACGTTGTTATTCTTTACTACCGTTGCTGGAAATAAATATTTTCTCTATCAACTGCTATATAAGGAACCATATGGAAGGGTGGATAAACAGGAGAAGAAAAAAGTCTTTCTGTGTAAAGTTGTACATGTGAGAGAATGGGTTTACTCTAAGTACTCTGTGTGTGTGTGTGTTCTCCTAGTACCCAAAGACGTGCAAATTGGGAATTGGTTTAATTGAACACTCTTAAAGGGTGTGAGTGTGACGTGGATGTTTTGCATCTCTGTGTGGTCCTGTTATGAAACAGTGAACGCCTCAGTGTGTTGTGGTTCATGGAGTTCAGAACTGAAGATTAAACAGTTCTCAACATTCAGAACTGTAGAGCCAGTCCAGTCAAGACCACTTTTCTGAGACCTTAAATAACCGGACTGGCTGATGAATAAAAAAACAACTTGTGTGTATTTTCTACTTTAAATGATTTGATTTGACCACAAGCCAAAATACTGTAGTATTCTCACCACAGGGTGTTTTCTATACTATTCCATAGTAATGTATATATATATGTTTGTATGTGACTACTGTATTAGAAGCCCTCGAACTACATGCATGTGAGCTGAATATTGGCTTGAGGTTTTTTTGTTGTTGTTTTTTTTTTTTTTACCACATCTCCTTTTACACACAGCCTTTTGGTTGTGTGTGGCACAAAGATAAGCGAGGTAGAAACCACAGCAGATCATGAGGTCACTAGAACCAGAATACACACGTCATTCACTTTCAACGTTGAATACCGGACACATGAGCAGAACAAGAATACTTACAAATATGTTTGGTGTCAATCATTAAAGAATTCACATGGTCGTTTTTAAACAAAAAAAAATGTGAGAAGAACTAGATAGATAGATAGAATTGAACTAATCCCTCAGGAGTCCCCTTTGGGAAATTAAGGGTGTCTTTGTCCTAATATAGACTTGAACCCTGACGTGGTCCTCCAGTGAACTGACGGTGGCAGCAGTGGCCCCTCTGACTGTAGATGAATGGGTGATTGCCAAACCATATGACATTGAAACCCTCGGTCTCTGCACCGCAGCAGTGTCACAGTCCTGTGGTAGAATGATGTTACCCCTCGTCTGCCCCTCCCCCTAGAGCCAACTGGATGAGGATTCCAGAACCCCACGGAAAATGCCAAACAGATGCCAATCCTAATGTTATGCATCTTTGAGTCAAACACGTGGAGTTACTATTCGCACTAACCACACAAATTTGTTATTTTGATCCCATGACATAAGATACGACTTTATTGATCCAACGCTGGGGAAAATCCGTGAAAATATTTGTTGATTGGCCAGGAACTGAACCCGCATGAATGAGTCCCAGTAGAGGATTGGTTGGAATATTTGTGAAGCTTCTGGCAAAAATGAATTCTT